GCCGTGCATGAATCGCACGCCGCCTCGTCCTCGCCGCAGCCAAGTCGCGATCCCTCGCCGTCCAGATACTCGTCTAGCGGAATCCGCCGACACCGTCCCTCCGCCGCGTCGACGTACTGCCGGACCCGCTCGTCCGTGCTGCGGATGCCCCCTCGGATGATGACCGCCTGCGTGGCGCCGCCGTCACGCCCGCCCCGCCCGCTGCTCTGTCCGTAGTCGAGCATATCGAACGGCTCGTCCCAGTGCACGACGAGATGGATGTCGGGGATGTCTATGCCCATGCCGAACGCCCCCGTCGCCGCCATCACTCGCACCCGGCCCTGCCGGTACTCCTCCAGCACCTCCTGCCGCCGCGCGTCAGTCATGCCGGCGTGGTAGTGCTCGCAGACAAATCGGCCGAGTCGCGCGATCGCTTCCGTCCCGGCCCGGCTGCTACACATGATCAGCACCTTGCTGCCTGGCCGAGCGTTGTCGGCGAGTACGGAGTCGACGAGTCCCTCGAGTATCGCCTCGCGCCCGCCTTCGCGCTCGCGCCGGCGTCCGCCCTCCTCTCCTCCGCGGCCGACGACGCGGTACGCGATGTTCCGCCGGACCGTCGATGCCCGGATGATCCGCACCTCGTCGGGCTTCCAGTGCATCCGCTCGAGCACGCGCGCCTCGGCGCTGGGCGGCAGCGTGGCGGTCAGCAACACCATCTGGGTCTGCGCAGCCACGAGCTTCCCGAGCTGCTGCAGTCGCTTCCGGAAGTTGAGCTGGTCGTTCAGCAGCACATGGCACTCGTCGATGACGATGCGATCGAGCTGCCGCGTCGCCTGGATGCGCTGCAGATACGTCGGGAACGAGCCCTGCGGATCCAGCGCCGCCTCGGGCGTGACCAGCACGATGCTCGCCGCGTCCGGCTGCCGCCGCTCATTCCATACCGCGCACGCGATGCCGAGCGCCTCGCACCGCCGCAGCATGTCCTCCCGCAAGCCCTTCAGCGGCACCACCACGACGCTCGTCCCACCGGGCTCGGCCCATGCCGGCAGCATGAACAGCACGCTCTTGCCGGCCCCCGTGGGCATCACCGCCACGATCGCGCTCTCGCCGGCCTGGATCGCCTGCATCGCTCGTCCCTGCACGCTGCGGAGTGACACCTGGGCCCGCATCATCCGCCGCAGCGTCGCCTCGGCGTTCATCCGCTTCAGCCGGCTCCGTCGCGCCGTCTGCTCCTCGTCGGCCGCCGCCTCAAACATGCGCCGCTTCCGCTTGGCATCCATCTCACCGACCCCACGCTGGATACCCGCCGGCCACACGGGGAACTGTAGAAACCGATGCCACTCGGTGCTGACCGCCCGGAACCGCTTGCGCATCCCGGCCACGACCCCGGATCGCTCCATACAGCCACGCGCGTAGATCATACCCGCCACGTGGGACGAATGCGCGGCCTGCTCATCCGCCGCGTGCTGGAACGCATGCTCGCTGTCCCACTCGGCGTTCTCGTCCTCGTCGTCGCGCGGGAACTGCGTCGCTCCTGCGATCCATTCGCGGCTGATAGCGATCGCGACCTCGCGATACGCGTACACGCCCAGCTCGCAGCCCATGCCCGCCGCGGTCGCCTGCTTCATCGCCTTCGTCATGCGATCGGTCGTCCAGAGCCGCCCATCGACGTCCGCCGGCCACAGATACGCCGACGCCTCCCAACCGGGCCGGAGCATCGCCTCTATAAGCTGTACGAACGGCAGTACTAGCCACAAGTACCATACGACCAGCTCGCCCACCTCGCGCGGCAGATAGCGGTGGATGACCTTAACGTCGCCCGTTAGCATGTACTGCTTGCTATACCGCGTTACAAACACGACAAGCCCGTCCTCGATGAACAGATTGCGGTGCTCACCGCCGGGCGTGTTCTGATGCTGCACGCTCAAGATCTCCGGCCCTCGAGCCGGCTGGCCGCCGGTCATGTGCATCAGTACGAGCAGCTGCGCCCGGAACGCCTCGACCTGCCGCAGCCAGTCGCGGACCCGTTCGCGCTGTACCCCTGATCGGCTACCTACCCGGACGAAGCGGGTACGCAAGTTGGACATGCCCTGGACGCGCTCGGCGAGCCATGTTGGACCGTCGGCTGGAAGTCGATTGCGCTGGTCGTCCAGGAAGCTCCATCTGACGCGGCTATTCGATGGATCGTCATGTAGCGTCTCCCACGGCACCGCCGGCACGCTCGCCGCGTCGATGCCGAACATCAAGTCCTCGAGCAGCGCTCGCCGCGTCGTCGTATGCAGATGGTGCACCATGCCTCGAAAATCCGCCATACTGAACGCGAGATCGCGATATTGCAGCACATCGCGGTCCTTCCACATCACGTGCCCGGCAGCGGTGGTGTTGTAGTGGATCTTCAGTCCGTACGTCCGGAGATCCAGAAACCAGTCCATCGGGCTGTTAGTACGCCGTACTATAAAGCTGTTTACCATCTGTTTTACCCAATCTAAGCTCGTCTTGCTAGAGTGCTTGCGGATCCGACGGCCCTTGTCGGTACGCCCGCTGCTGTAGCGAGCGCGGCTACTGCTCTCCCTCCTACTCTCCCTGCCCCTCGAACGGCCCGGGCTGCCTCTGCTTCTTGGACTGCCCCGGCTGCTCCGGCTCTCGTCGCTGCTGTACCCGCTATCGCTTTCGAAGTAGCACACGCTGCCGCATGGACTGTATTTGCCGCGCTCGGTACGCTTGCTCGCCTCCAGCGGGACCAACTCGCGCGCTTTTTGCACTACCATGAACTGCGCGATCTTAATAATCGCCGACAAGAACGGCGGATACGTCTCGGGGTCGCGCCAGCCCGGCTGCGTCGGGTTCACCCTAAGCACGGCCGCAGCGCAGATTAACGCACAGTCGTACTCCCTCCGGCTGACGGTCTGATTCAGCAGCTCGATGCAGAAGTCTAGACATGCGCGCTGGATGGATGTCAGCGGCGCGTTCTCTGGACTGGCTTCCTCTCCTGTCGCTCCTGCCTCATCTGCCCCAACTCTCTCGCGGGCTTCGTCGTTGTTCTCATCGTCCGCCTCGTCGTCGGGCGCAACGTCCACGCCATCCGCTAGTCCTCCCCCCTCGACCACGTCCTCCGCCGCCGCCATCAAACGCTGAAACGCTACTGCCTGCCGCCGGTTGAATCGATACTCCGGCCCGGTGGCTCTGCCGGCGTCACGCATACGTTGCGTCCGCACGAAGAACACGAGCATCTGCTGCCACGCTCGGCAGCGCTTCCTCATCGACGTCCGCTCCTGGTACGGTTGTAGTGGCTGATATCGGACCTGATCCCGCTCCGTCCGTACGGCCTGCATCCGGATCAAGGTGCCGCTTCCGGCGACGGTCGCCTGGCTGGCCGTAGCGACGTCGGCCATTGCCTTCCACACCGCTGTAGCGAGCTTCTCGGTCAGCGCTGTCTCTGCTGCCTGTATTCCCTCGGCTGCAGCTCCAGCTGCTGCTGCTGCTGCCCCGTATGTTCTGTCGTCCGGGCGCCTTCCGGCCGAGCTGCGTCCTACGGGATTATCGTCGACGACCGGCTTTTCGACCAGCTGTACGAGCACTTCGCGGTCCTGTCCCGCCAAGTATGGCACCCAGCCGGTCCGGCGTAGCCACGGGTTGGCCTCGTCCACGTTGCCTTCGGTGATGGTACGGCCCGCCTGCGCTCTACTGGCGTCGAGCGCCTCTTTGGCCTGCTGCCATACTCGCGCCCACACGTGCTCGCTGCTGGCGTCGTGATCGGCCGCTGTACCTGCTACCGTGCTTCCCTCCTCGCCCAGCAGCGGTATGCGTACTTCAAAGTAGCTCGAGTGCTCGCGGTTGGCGAAGAAGCGCTGGCAGTAGACGGGCGCACACGCTCTCTCCAGTGCTACGCTGACGTCTCGTGCCTTCGCCGCACCGGACCCGCCTCCACGTCCGCCTCGGAGCGACCATTGATGCCGCGTCCGCCAGTGCTCTCTCATGCCCTGCATACTGCGGCTGACATATCTGCAAGTTGACGGATCTAGCCGGCATTGGATACCGTCAGCATATAGCGCGAGTGCTGGGACGGGGCGGTTGACGTAAGTTGGTACTGCGAACTGGCGGACATGTTGTACAATGTCGGACCACGCCTGTAGCTCATCTGCGACCTGCTGTGCCTTCTTTCCGTTAACGCGATGGTGCGGACCACGGAGATGCGCCGCCGCATGTGCTGGCCAGATTGCTACCTTACATTCACGACAGACGGCGATCAGCCAGTCGCGGTCGTGCTCAAAATACTCGTTCGCCATTCTCTGCTCTTTTGCTAGTAGACGTCTCCCTCTACGCGTAGCAGCTATAGCGTTGTACGCGCTTCACCCTTCATAGTAATGTAACGATAAAGATAACCCTAGGGTTGACCCCAAAAATTTCGCGCGCTGCGCGCGCGTTCAACCCTAAAACATCTAAACCCTAAACCCTAAAACACATACGCGCTTCGCGCAAAACCCTAACTTTCCCCCAAACCAAAATTTCCGTACCGAAAATAGCAGATAGGTTAGAGACTGCGCGGCAGAGTGCTTGTTGCTTTATGAAAGGCTGTTGTCTTGATTTTGGCTTTCTGGAGCGACTGAGTCAACGATGAGAAGGGCTTTGCGAGAATCGCCTGTGACAGTGTAATTGTATTTTGATGCATTTGAATACCCATGTGTCTGTTTGTTTATCTATATGCCATATATTGATCAGGCCGGTAGGAATTACTCTATTGTTATTGGGTGCTTGTTACAAGGGATTTGATTAGGTGAGGGTCCGTGGAGGTCTTGCGACTGCGCCGCGCGAGATGCGACGCGACGTACAGTGCCCCTCACAATTCTACGCGAATATTTCGAACTCCTCTAATTTTAGCTAACGCGGGGAATCACGATGCGGTCCAAATCACGACGCGGTCCACAAATTTGGGTACTAACACAACTACTACTTCAACACGTAATGGCACCACCAACACGCGTCCAAACAAGCCCAAATTAAGGGAGCATTCTCCTCGCATCATCAGCTTTCAGATTAGATACGATTTGGTTTGGAGGTGAGTAAATAGCATGAGACGAGAGCAGAGGCGAGAGTAGGTAAGGCATGATAGAAGAGACGGCTCATACGGACACTGTGAATAGCCTAACAGAACAAATCAAATCAAATCAATCATTTTGGATAGGTTGGACATTTTGGATAGGGACGGCCGGCCATGTCGCCTAACCCCAAGCTTTTACCTCCAACAAGGAGGATCAGCTTGTGGAAAAAGAGGAATTTCGTAAAGTGTACTAGTACAGCATAAGCTTGTCCAAGATCTCGGTCCTCCCAAGTTGCTCTGCTAGCTCAAATGGCGTTCTACCATAACCATCCTTGGAATTCATATCAGTAGCAAGGAGCAGACCTACCAGCTCCGGGTGTGCCTCGATCGCCTTGTGCAGTGCTGTACCGACATCTTCTAACGAGCGTGGGTCCGTCGGTTCTTCGATTCCAATTTCGTTAATGTCAAGGCCTTGATCCAGCAGGAATTTGATGGAATCTGCATTGCCTTCCTCCGCCGCATAGATTAATGCGCCGCTCTTCTTGCGCTCTGCGCCATGGTCCAGCAGCAGTCGCATAATGCTAATATTGCCGTTGCCAGCTGCTTCGGCCAGCAGCGAGCGATAATCGTCAAGCTTAGCGTGGTTAGGATCGGCGCCTTTGTCCAGGCAGAATTTTGTCCAGCTTATGTTGTTGTGCTTGACTGCAGCTGCGAGGGCGTCTTTCCAGATCTCAATGTACTCGTTGATGTTGAGCCCGTTTTCTATTAGCACACGATGAACGTGCTCGGCGCCACATGCCGCCATCGATGAGAGCACCAATAGATTGGGACTTGCACCTTGCTGTAGGCAATATTTGGCGATTCGAGCTGCGTCAAATTGTGTCGACACTCTCAGGAAGTCTGACCAGTCGTTGTCGTTGCGCTGCTCTGCCCAATTGCGAAAAGAAGGTACATCATCGTTTTTACAAAAGTGTGAAAGCTCTTCGCCGTAACGTTCAGTGAAAGTTGCCATAGTAATTTGCTGATTTTGTAAAGCTCCTGTGACGAAGAAACCTGAAAAGGAAGGCAAAGGGTTGGTAGTTGCTTGAAGTCTTTGTATACCAGCCAGCGCAATCACGGTACGTGGCCGAGTGTCGATGCCAGCACGTCGTTCGTTCAGCGACGATCAAAGGAGGCGCTCTGCTACAAACTTCTCCTCAATAATGCAAAAGGCTTTCACATAGTCAATACCAAATACGCATTCAAGACAGGTCCAGATGTATAAACGTCGTTGGAATATCAGCTGCATGGGTCGAACTAAGGGCAGGGCTGACAGATGGCCGAGCCGACGCCCAAAAATAGCTTTGCCTCAGCTGCACACGCTCCAGGATCTGCACGCCAAAGCTCGTGCATATACACAGGTCCCCATACTCACGGGTATATTTAATCCTCCTAACGGAATGATCTCAGTCTAGACGATGTCATGCTTTATTCAAGCTCGTGAGGACGCGATGCCAAGGGACTAAGCAAACTATAGGTCTGACTTTGCCTACGATCCTTTCTTCAACCCCCAGTAGGTTCAACACGACCCAAGAGCCGCTTATAGGCAATAGGATGAGACAATTGGAAACCAAGATGAGACGTCTCAGCCGTGTGGCCGTATCTGAATGCGGATAGGCTCACATGGTTATTGAAGACCTTAACGATGCGGCTACTCTCACGGCCTGGGACTTGCGACCCCCAAACATGTGTGAAAGTAATAACATTAGCCGGTCATTCTGACACTTTACATATTCCAGTTTGAGTCCTGCGCTACGACGCAGAATGAACTGTCTGCGACGTCAGCTGCTCGACTTGCCGCCGGGGCAGGTGGCTCTTCCTTTAAGGCAGAGTCGGGGTCCGCAATCTAGCGTCTGCGTCGTCGGTCTGTACTGAGTGACAGAGGTGATCTCAGGAAGAATATTGGCTATATATGTCGGTGCAGATCTCCATGATTCGCAATGATAAAAGGACACAATCGTGGTATCTATACCGACAGCAAGACTTCTAGTATGGCACGAGCGATCTCCCTCAGGACGATTTTGGCGTTACTCTTCGCCTTCGTCTTTCAAATTGCATTCGCTGCTCCGACGGAATGCAACTCCATTTCGGACCATACCTCTGCCTGTAATATCGATCTCGATATTCGAGACCTTCTCAAACGGTATTCTGGTAACCCTCGGGGCAAGGTCGGCACTGGTGGCCCAGCCAAATCAGATTACCCGAGTGACGAAGAAATCCGCAAAGCTTACCTCAAGCCTTCTGGACCACATGTCTTCTACAGTGGCATCGGTGCAGACACGACTGATCCGTACGCATTCTCTCAAAAGGTCGGAGGTGTGATTCTCCGCAATGCCTTCCCCAAGAAATACTTGAATCAGAACAAACGTTCTGAGGAGTGGCTAGGCGATTTCTGGGACAGGACGTCCGGTGAGCATTCATTACACAGGAATCAGAAGGGCGGGTATTCTGACTTGAACAGGAATATTCGCAGAGCTCGCGCCACTTGATAACGCGTACATTGTGTCAGAGTTCCACAAAGATACAATTCAGGACTGCAGCATCTGGACCCGCATCGAAAGCCCGACTCTCAAGGCCAAAGCTACGATCAAGACAATCACTCTAGTGGACCGATCAAACTTTGACAACAAGAAGGTCATTTACACAAAGAGTCAGAGTAAACGCGAGGCAAAAGTCCCTATAACGAAGCCTGTTCCGGCAAAGCGTGTCAAAGCCTGCGACGGAGCTGTCGTTGATACTCGTTAAGAATGAAAGTTTGGGAGTCGCTTTCACCCCATCATGTTGTCCGATCGGGAATCAAAGCTTTTGCGCAGGGAAAATAGGTCATGCCCTGTTGGACAATCCATTGTCCCTTCATGATGTGCGGTATAGCAGCAATTCACGACCGGCCTCAGATCGAATACTAGCACTTCTGACAAAGTCCCAATCACGCGTTCGAACCACACGGCAAAATCTCTCTATACTTTGGATTTAGAAACAACGAATGACCAGTTACGCTATGCTAACCGTGAACCTCAATGCCCTTGATCTGTGAGCATCCTATATTACCCGTAAATGCATATCCCGCCATTACCTCGGAGTTTGCGACTGCTATATTGGATCTCGGGTCGCCAGCTTTCACGCAGGTCTGATTCGTTCTAGTCAGGAAGCATCTCCCGCCTACAAAATCCTCAAAAGGCGACCATTGGAAATTGGATATATTGGGGTAAGAGTGGGCCATGACGCAGCAATCGTAGGCAGTTTGCGGATTGTAATCAGCCTGAAATTCCTCCTTCGTGAAGTATATCAACGCGCTGTTCAAGACGATGTCGTAGTTTGTCTGACTCGCTTTATCGAAGTACTTGTTGGCGATGTTGTCCTTGCCGCAAGCTGCATATACAGTGCTTTGTACACGGCGTATTGTTTGCGTAGGTAGTGTGACGGTTGAAGTTATGGCATTATTGTAAATGCCGATTGTAGTAGTGTAGGTTCCTGGCGAGGTCACTGTCACGGGTCCCGTATATGTTGCAAGGTATGATGACAGGCCAACTCCGTCAAAGATCGTTGTTCCAACAATGAAGTCAGTGCCAGAAAGTGTTGTCACAGCCGTCGCGGTTCTTTCTGGTGCCTGCGACGTAACTATCCTGGTAAATGTCTTCGTGCATTTCACCGGAGTCGTGCCAGGCTCAGGATATACGTCCCGCTTCTGCACAGGATTTGGCAGGTCAGGATCGGCTGTTGCGCCAGGCAGTGAGCTTCTGATCGGTCGGAAGCCTGGTGGTGTCGGGATAGTGACCGTAGCAGATGGTCCAACAAAAGTCGTCGGGGTGATCAGAACAGTTGTCGTCGTCGGAAATGTCACGTATAGCTCGGTGGTGCCACCGACAAAGACGGTTTCTGGACCGCCTTGAAAGGATTCATACGTATAGATGGTCGTAGAAGCACTATCGATCGCATAGGTAATGGTCGTAGTACGAGTGGCTATGGTTGTAGTAGACACTGTAGTCGATATGCAGGATGACTGTGGCGAGCTTTGCGATTGCGTTGTAAGGGTGGTGGACTTCGATGTCGCCTGGTTGACCGTGACCGCATACGTTGGCTTAGTGGTGATCTTGGACGTGACCAATCCTGAGGACGTTGCTGGTGTAGTTCGCTTGCTCGATGTCGAAGTTCTATACGCGCTTGTCAAGCTCGTGCTCGACGTCGTGGCATGCGGGAGCTTCGATTTGGTTGTCGGATAGTTTGCATCGCAGATGCCAACACTGAGGCCCAAAATCAATGCGCATCCCAATGACAATTTCATAGTTGTGCTCGGTGATGGCGGTCACGACGTCTGAAATTTTGTCAATCGAATGGCTGATGAACTTATGTATCCCTTCAATAAAGCCCGCAAAGGGCCATTATCATCTAATGATTTATGTGAATCGAAAAGAGTGTGAAACAACCTACCTCTTCCCCTCCGCACGAGATGTTTCATGCGCGTCTTAGACACCGACACGGGCTGCAGCATCCGATCACTCCATCAGACCACTTCTGCGCACGCCACTTCATCTTCAATACATTGATGAGACAAAACATGATCGCCGAGAGCACTGAGACCGGCCAAAGGCCGCCAAATGGCAGAGGCACTGCATGATGGCGTTGTGGAGCAGGCGAAAGGGCGTCCTTGACCGGCGTTCAATTGGTCGCAGACTTCAAAACCCCGCTTTGAAATCCTTCCACCACCTGCAAAAATCAATAAATGCTCGGTGTGTCCGCGCCACTGTGCCACTCGACGCATGCGCATGTGCCCATGATGGAGATCGACCGACTGGAAAATGTTGGCACTGTTTTGACATTGCCCACGTTGAGCCTAGAATAGATGGTGCCTGAGCGATATAACTAGTTCGTCTGTTAGAACAGGCCCTTGTTGCGGATCGCATCGGTGATCATCCCGCAGCTAAAATAATGCCCCGGGGGAGAAATCCTTTCATGATGCGTACGATACAAACCCACGGGATGATGAAAAGGAATTCTACAACTGTCTTTCTCTACGGCATTAGCAAGTGCTGCAGCTTCTCAATCTCGCCTCCTTCTCCAGCTCCTCTCGAGAATGCGGGCCAGACTTCTCCACGCAGCCCTTTGCGCGACAGGTTTCATTGCCTTGCGTTGCAACAAAGCAGATGCGGGCGAGATTCATGACTAAGAATGCGACCAGGCTTATGATTGACGTCTGACTTCGCATTTGTTTTCACATCCTGAAGGTCTAAAATATTTTGAACTCTAAACATAGTATGGCCACACCTCCTTCCCCACAGACAAGCTTACGAGACGAGCCAGATGGCCCCACAGAGAGAAAATTGCACCTTCAAAATGGACGTACGACATGCTCCGCATGAGAAGTGGGCTTTCATCAGGAAACACTATCGTCCACGTCCAAAATGCGGTCAACATATATTTCCCCCAAGCATATCCATACCGTTAAGCGGAACCATACTCCTCCTCCCGTGAGCGCACACAAACGGGAACACGCATGCTACTAATCGTCGTACGAGATCTTCGCACTCTCCCTGGGACAACTTGTCATTGAACATGATTGCCGACCGGCAAGCGCGGGAATTGAGCATGTCCAGCATCCCTTGAGGACAATACGAGAGGTATCTTGTCCAGAGCGGTGCGCTGAGATCAGTTGTAGCCTGGCCGCAGTGTGACTGTGCCATCTCAATCTGTCTTTGCGAAATTGGTCTCCTGATACCATCGTGCAATGCCCAGATCTCGGCTCTGATCATGTCAATACACAATCGTGGTGTGCTGGAACATCTCTCGACAATTACTAACGGTAGTTTTCTCACTCGAAGGCAGGTTTCACCTCCGACGCCGAAGGTCTCGGCTTGGATGCCGGAGACACGGTCTTCATGACGCTCGAGCTCGTAAGACACTCCCCACGCAGCAAAGTGCGCGCGATACTGCTGCAGGAGCTCGCGCTCTGTTCTCGAAACTTCAAAGTTAAGCGCACTTGCGTGCGAGGTGTAGTCGCCCACAACCGCAGTTTGAAACTTAGCCCCCTCTGTGGAATGCGTTGTTTCCCCTGCTGTTGGTGTACCATACTGCCCAAGCAGGCCTTCTAAGATAATCCTTTCCGACGCAGCGTGCTGATCTATGAGCACCAACGTATCGTGTCCCAAATCATCGAAACTCGAGTTGTCGCGAATCTTGCAAAGAATGAATTTACGGTCAACCTTACCTACAACCTCGGCATTCTCAAAATGTGCCTTGCACATTTTCTCCGCCAAATTTGCTTGCGTACTCCTAGCAGCGACGGAATGTGCACTGTCTGGTAGCAGCTTGGGAGACAGATGGAGATGGCAAGCCCTTTCCAACGTGATGTCTACGCATGGCGCGGAGGTTATCCTTTCTTCTTTCTGCTTCTGAAAGACGGGATTGTGCCAACGTGTAAGGATTTCATCAGACGGCACAATTGCGGCATCTCCTTGTATCGAGAAAACTTTTGTTTGTGATGTCGTATGGCTCTCCGTGGCGCAATTGACAGTCTGCGCGTCATTCCGCAGGGCTACTGCGACACCGCTTGATGCACCGCGTACTTTGTTTCTCGGAGCTTGTGGAATCGTTACCCCGGTTCTAGCATTAATTCTGTACGCAAGCTTGCTGATCGGATCGACCCATTGCAGCGTTCCATCGTGACCCCTCAAAGCGTGCGTCAAACCGGCTCTAGATGGCAAGGAATGCGGGTTCGAAACAGCGCGGTCGACTTTCTCGAAAGGGATCGATGATGAGTTTGTCCCATAAGCCAGTGCCATCTCTTGTACTTCGGCTTGTTCGTAGAGTTCCTCTCGAGCCATCGTGCCGGATATGCTCTCCGCCAGGAGACCACTACTTTCGAGATGCTTGGCTTTGGAAGTTGGTGATCGGTTACGACTTTCCGGACCGATCTCGACTCTCGTGCTCAATGTAGGGATACCAAACCGGATAGCACTCCAATGAGTTGAAGGGATAGTTTTGTCCTTGAAAACGTTCGTTTGGTGGATGGGCTCAACGTCGGAGGGCTCTCCAGAGCGTTTTGCTTCAGCACTAACCTTATTCGCTGCATCAAACACGTTTGAGGACCTCGTTCGCCGTGCCAGGTCCTGTTGCGCACCTGATGTCCCAATAAAGTGATGCCTCTCAAGCCACGCGGCCATAGCAGCTTTCAGTAAATTCAGAAGTAGCTGGTTCGACATTGGTGTGCTCGACTCCGACTCGAACATGGATTTAGATGCGTTGTTCTTTGTCAGGAGCTGGACAAAGAACATCACGTTCTTATCAACTGAGCCGCGCCTATTGTTGAAGGCCGCAGCTCGGCTTTTCCGTTCTTGGCGTACGCCTGGAGTCTTTCGAATATCGCAAGTCTCGTCCTTCTGGTGGTTAGAGGAATTGCCGAAACTGCTTTTCGCGAATGTACGATTGACGCAATCATAGAGATCCTCGTGTCCTGTGCTCGTGCCAAGGGGCCGAACCCCCAAGGAAATGAATTGACAGGCTTTTGAGGGAGCAGGTTGCGAGCAGATCATCCCTTTGAGGTGCAGCATTGACGATGATGCCGATATCGATGTCCAGCTTTGTCGGGAGTCCCAAGGCGCCAGGCCGGCTTGAAACAGCACCGGCAGAACGTCTTGTGGGTTGTATTGGGAATGCGTCCCATTCAAAGCTTTCAGGTTCCTTGACGACAATTCACCTGGTATGTTCGGATTGTTACTGAAAAGGTGTAGCTTTCTCGCCGGGCCCTCCTCATCTTGCACCCGTACGCTGCAGGGCCGTGGCCAGGCAAGCACGAGGGCAACAATTCGAGTTTTGAGAAGGTTCCAGAGGTCCTCCAGCTGCTTGCTTGTTAATAAAGCGCGTTGTTTCAGGCGGACCGGCATTGTGCCGAATAGATCTGTAACCATTACACTTGTTCCGTGCCCATTGGGCAAATTGGCTTCCGTGTCCGATAGACGCCGAAGCACCTTCCCATTACGCATCATGATCGCATTGTTTTCAAAGTGATTTTCCTCGACCGAGCGGATTTTTAACAAAGACAGTGTCCCAAGCTGCGCCAAGAACGTACCGTTTGCACCGTGCATCTCGAGAGATTGTGATGGATCGCGTTTGGACGTCCAGTACATCTTACCGAGTCCACCATCTTCGAGGAACTCGTAGGAGGGAATTCCGCGACCATTGTCCGTAGCGGCGCAACTCCCGCGTGAACGATTGATGGTGATCTCGACTTTTGTGGCACCTGCGTCGAGGCTGTTCTCCAAGAGCGCAATCGCGACATCTTCTTCGGATATTATGGTTTTGGAGGAATGGATGCTTCTTATCGCGTCATCGCTGAGCTTTTGGATACGATTGGTATCACGAAGGTCGTCCTTCATGTCGGGTCGTTTGGAATTTTCGACGCCTGATCCGCGAGCATGCACTCCATTCTGGTGCCTGTTCTCGGCCAGCTTGGTGGCAGCATTTGTCTAGGTCCTACATTCGAGCTCATCAGAGACCATCGAGATTGAAGACTGGCGAGTGCTGCAGTGGACCGTTGGACCTCCCCAAGTTTCTATTGAAACATTCAATAAATGAATCCGCCCTTGGAAGGACTTTGCCGACCGCGTAGTCTCCAGGGCTGTTGGATTTCGCCCGCGATTGTTCGTTGCGGCATGACGCAAGCCCCGCTGCTGCCAACTCAGGGACGCGTCGGAAGTCGAGTCGCTCCGAGCTTTGCGCGTACAACCAGGGTACAACACAGATACTCCGATCACAAATAGCATCTTCGTGGATTATTACTGTCCACCTGTATGTTTCCATACCGTATATCTTCAACATCAACGGCAATTCCAAAGCATCATCGCCATTCTCAAGTACCTCACTTGTCCACTTTTGCTTCAACCGCAAACCGCACGTTCGCACCATCTCTCATTCGTCCGGCAATTCATCACACCCAGTTCGATTATTTGCTGCTCGGCTGCCGCTGAATCATACTGCATCGCGAACACGAGTCTTGAGTCAGAAGTACCGGCGTCAGATCAAGCTGCATCTTCGCATCGCTCTCATAAGTGAAAAGATCTGCGAGACGGGGAGGAATGGCGGCCGCCGATATTGAAACCAGGCCCCAGGGTGAGTTGCTGCCAGCGCGATATGATAGGGAATGCATCTCGTCTGACAAGTTTTGCAGAGCGCTCAGCCCGCAGGAAGCCATTCGCTAATCTGGTGAAGCGCCTCACTAATTTCAAGAACAGCACCGATAGTCAACAAGGGAAAAAGCAACTGGTCGGCGGTAACCTTCGCAAGCAAAAGAAAGCCGGCAAGAACAACCCGTATCCTGAGTCGGGCAGGCTGCCAGTGGCCGCTCCGCAGGCCAGCCAGCCATCATTTGGAGCAGCGTCTCAGCCGCATGCAGACAGTTTGTCATACGCGTCACTCCCTGCCGGTGGCTCACATGATAACGATGGGTCAGAAAGAGGAGGTAATAAGAGCGGTGCTCCCACCCTGGAGACAAACCCTGATACTGTACACTCCGATGGTGGGAACAGCAAAGCCGCTACCACCACGACCGGTGGGCGCGCACTGAGCAGCCTCGACGGCGCTGGAGCTGGAAGTACGTTCAGCTCGCCCAACCACAGCGTGCGCTCTCTAGCTACGACTCTCACAACCATCCAATCTCAAGGAAATGCGATGCAAACTGGCAATGGAGTCGCGAGTAATCATGCCCCACATCACAACGAGCAGAGCCAGCCGAATGGGACAATGTTTCACCAGCCGTTCCCCGGCGCTGTCTCCGCCATCCCTCGTCATTTGCAGGGTGATCCAAACGCTCCAAACACCTACAGTTCAGCGACTGCGAATAATCTATCCTCCGATAATGCTAGCATCCTGACCTTGGCATCTTCGTCTAAGCAGCGGCGTCGAAGCATGGACACAGATGCGTCAGTCCGGGCAATGGCACCAAGCTCTGTCTGGGGAGGCAGTCGCGAGTCGCTCCCGCTGAGCGTGCTGAGCAGCAATATCGAAATGGGCCAGTCAACACGGCCTTCGATTGCCGGATTGCCTTCAGCTTCGGCCGAGCGTGCAAGCGTCTACTCCTCGTCGGGCCTGGGCAATATCCGAGATTCTACAGGCATCAACTCTCTGGCGCTTGCCAGCGAACGGAACTCATACTACGCGAAGCAAGCCGCAGATGCCAAATCGCTTCGTTCCATCAACAACCTCAAAGACGACTCACGCTCGATCAACCGTGAACATGACGTAGCGAGCATCCGTAGCCTTGCGCCGAGTGAAGCGCGGCTGGGCGGTCACAGTCGAAACGATAGTATCCCCGGCAGTATCGCAACAAGCCCACTCGCGAGCCCAGCATTGCCTCGACAGTCAAGCACGGCTGGCAACGGTCCATCGTTGAGCAGAAGAGGCAGCGACTGGCGACACAAAGACCTGGAGGGAGAGACCGACAACGCTTACTTTGAGAAACGCGGATGAAGTACGTTTGTGCTCTACGTTGACCACGCGCGTCAGAGCATAACGTACAACGACATCCTGCGCACAGCGTGAAGCAGATCGCGAATCGCATCAGCCGACTTGAAACCAAGAGGCGAGCGTCGTCTGGTCAATTCATATTGCTGTTATTCTTGGCTTGTTGCTCCAGCACTGTCCACCGTAGCATGGGAGAATTGCGCTATCGAATCAGGGTCTGGCTTGGCTTTGCACGTGCTGGGCTTTGCGCCCACGTCATCTCATCATCCCGCAAATTCAAACCCTTGGGGACTTCCAAGATTCTACGCCATGTACCTAGTAGCCTTGTATACGTGTCGTGCCCACATGTGTCCTTCAGTCATCCATGTTGTCGACTTCATGTTCATCTGACGTAGTCAATTGTTCGATTAGCATGTTCCCTTAATGCCATGGACAAAAATATTCAAACTGTGAATTGAGACCTGCTGATGGACTCAGATGGAGTAATCCATCTAGAAAACCTTATACATCGGGCCTCAACGCGAAAAAGCGGTAAGGTTGCACGCGACCAAGCCACAGCTAAAGGAATTTGCCAGCGACGCGCGAACAGTTCGGACTAGTGAAGAGCCTCGATTCTAGTTTTTTGCTGTGCAGTATTCAACAAAACGAGCCAATTCCTCACGGAAAATTTCGCGAACACACTGTTCTGATCACACAGGAGAAATACTTCTCGAGATTGGCTTTTGACGTGAAGCGGACAAGAGCAGCTTCGCACTGCCCCACCACTGTTCCAGCCGGTCAACCAAAGAAGCGCGTTAGGTGTACTTTGGCGGGAGTGCAGATTCATCCGAGCCTCACACCCGAAGCGGTCCCTCACGACTCCTCCATCATCGTCACACCGCCGAGATCGACCTCCTGGTAGATATCTGGTCACAACCCTGCAGCCTTTTCAGACCTCAACGATAAAACCAGCAACAAACACCGGTCGCATTCCGGCGCACAAGCAACTCCGACATAAAATCTACTCGAACTCCATCGCGTCTCTGCCGTTTCATGCAGACTCTCGGTATCGCTCTCTGACGGAAGACCGACGCGTCACAGCCTCCGCGAACGTCGCGCAATACCGATCCACCGGCCGCAAAACACTCCACGACTCTGGTGATGATAATCCGGGCCCTCAGCAGCGCGCTTTTCCTTTTTGCGATCGTCTTCACCATCCCGCTTGCTTTCGATGTCGGCGGCCGTACCTGCGGGCTGGCTTTCAGCCTCAGTCTGGCCACATACTACTTCTTCGTGTCATGCCTGCGTTTGAGTGTACCTGCGCACTCGACATGGCGAGGAGCCATCGTTCGCTTCCTTTCTTCCTTGCAGACCATCGTCATTCCGGCCCTTCTTATCTGGAGCTTGAACAAATTCAGCGAGGAAAGCATCGACGAAGGCAACAACTGGGTCACGCGCGCCTTTTTCAATGCAACGAAACCGCTCCACCGAAGCCCAAGCCTGCGTGAGTGGCTGTTCGGAAAAGAAGGATTAGTGGAAAATGTGATACTCGGATCATGGGATAATCTACTGCGCTATTCAACACCTGTCTTTCAACTCACGGAAGGCTTCTGCAGCTTGCTTTTGGTCCAAGCAGCTGGACAAGTCACTCGATATCTCGTCAACACGAGTGATGCTGGCGATAGCTGGATGATCGGTCTGCTCATTGTCTCAGGCAGCATCATCTCCAGTTCAGTATATTTCCTCTGGCGGATCAGCACGTTCCCAGCACTGGACAGCCAGGATGCCATCCTCATCGGCATCGCCATCACCTGCGCTTTCTTCCTGTGCGCATGGGGTATTGGTAGCGGACGCGGAAACGTCGTGGAGAGCAGCCTTCTTTTTGCCTACGTCACACTCTGCATTTACCAGATCTTCACTGACTACCAGCCAAGTCATCCGCTGGAAGATCTCCCAGCTGCAGAACCTGGCTTCCCACCTTTACCACCTATCTTCATGGCAAGCTATTCGACCATTCTGCAAGCCCTATCGTCTCTACCTACTGCTCTCCGTTCCGCTTTCGGCTTCGTATTTGCCGCTGTCCAGACCGTCACACCATCTGTCATTATATCCCTCATATACCGTCTGGTCGTTCTGTATGCTGCTGCCCGAATCATTCCAGCTGTGCGAGAATCAGGAGCCAGAGCGCTCGCCGAGGATCCTTCACTCGAGGACTCCTTAAGTACTTCCGATACGCTCGTGGGACTCATCAGCTACTTCTCGCCGAGCATCCTGATCGCCGTCTACACGAGTCTACTTATGCAACATTTCTCGACTGCGGCCACTGATCATCCTGGCGAATGGTGGACTAGTCAGGGCGGTGAGGGCGGTGGAAATATAATCAGGTGGATCAACTTGGCAGGGACCATGGCGTTATATGCTGTAGAGCTCTGGATCAGCAAGGGCGCCGATGACGGCTTGACCGGTCACTGGAAACTTGATTGAAGAAAGGACCACGATGGCGCCCGTTGCGAAGCCAAATTCCTGCTTCCATGTTGCATTTTCTTTGGCATCACGATAGCAGACACAAACGTTTTCGACGTTTGCACATCATACAAAAAGATGAAGTCAAGGGCCGAGAGATTTCTTTCCTCCCAGCACAGCGACCTCCAACTGATCGCCCTCATCAAAGAACTCCCAGTGACTTCCGGACGGAAGGTTCTGGGTTGAAGCCTTTCGTCCGGGCTCAGTCCGGCATGCTTTGCCAGATCGCGTGTTCTACTCCTCGGTCAACCTTACCTGATCGGATCACAATTCATGTCAAGTTCTCGCCAACACCATCTGGCCAACTCGAGAGAACAATGCTTAGGTCGCACACCAAGTCACCGCTACGCAATCGGAGCTGCGATGCGGGTTGTCGCAGTTGCGGGTGCACTACAGAACACAGCCCTCACATTTCGCAGACCTACTGTGGATTCCACAGACGAAGCTGCGGAAGGTCGTCGCAGTCAGCTTGCAATAGGAATGCACGCGCTTTACTTGTCACCACATTCTGCTTCTTTTTATTCCTAGATATTAATCATGTGTGTTGACATGCATACATATTTCCCTCGTTCCGATAACTGTGCTCATAATGGGTTCGTACCTACCTGGCAGGTAAGTGAGAATGGCTCAGTGGATCCAACACGACCTCGGGCTTTGAGAACCCGACAGCCAATGGCACGATCACATGTTTGCGCGTGAGAATACGCGTCTCGCCTGCGAAGGCGCGTTTTGGGTGCACACGAGCAATTGCTCATCGGGGAAATTTATCATCATTTCAGATTCGCGGGGCCTCCCTCACGACGTCATCAATCGTCACTACATCAATGGCGCATACGCAAATGCACGATGAATTGAAAGTGATACGCACTCGCGTGAATGCGCCCGCGCCCGCTGCTCCACAGGAGTAGTGATGCGATAGTGATGCTGGTTGTTTACTGCTCGTGATTGCTGTTGGTTCTGGAACAGTACCTCTTGCATCGCTGCTTCGATTCTCTCCAGCATCGGCAAGCATTGTAATAAAAACCTCGCATCGATCGTCAGCAAGTCGAACCAAACCCGGAAAGGTCAATAACTCGATATGGCGGAAACTCACCAGTTCGATGCTGGGCGGCTGTTCTCGGTCAAGGGATTCGTATGCGTTGTGACCGGCGGTGGTGTGAGTACAACTATCACAGCGTCCTTTGACAACCTCCTCCACGTCATCCACTAATACAAGGACAGACCGGAATTGGCCTGATGGCTGCGCAAGCTCTCGCTGCCAATGGTGCCAAAGTCTACATCACTAGCCGTCGCATGGAAGTCCTCGAGACTGCTGTCAAGGAACACTCTCCCGCACATGAACGCGAGACTGGCGGTTCGATCGTTCCCATCGGTCCCTGTGATGTCACTAAAAAGGAGGATCTCCAAAAGATCGTTGAAGAATTGAAAGGCAAAGAAGGCCACATCGACGTCCTGGTTTGCAACGCTGGTGTTGCGGGACCCAAGGCCAACCCGAGTGAGGAGAATGCCGAGGACCTCAAGAAGCAACTTTGGGACAATGAGAGCGTGGAAGAATGGGGTCAGACCTACCAGTCCGATGTCACAAGTGTTTACTTCACCACCGTCGCGTTTCTCCCGCTGCTGCAGGCTTCTATGAAAGAAGGCGGCGGCACTAAGGAACGTTTCCATGCATCAGTCATCACTACCAGCAGCATGAGCGGTCTGATGCGTCACGCCCAAGGCCACTTCAGCTACAATGCCGCCAAAGCCGGATGTGTGCACCTCACCAAGCTAATGTCCGCCGAATTCCAACGCGCCGGCATCCGGGTCAACTCCATCGCGCCAGGCTATTTCCCCAGCGAAATGACCGCCAAAGAGAGCAACGAGCGCAACAAATCCAAGTTCCCCGAGGGCAAAATCGAATCCACCGGCCATGTTCCGCTCGAGCGCGAGGGGCGCGAGGAGGAAATGGGCATGGGCATGCTTTTCTTGGCTAAGTGCGGTTATCTCAATGGACAGATCATCGCCATCGATGGCGGCGTGCTCAATGTTGTGGGCGGGAACTAAGCAACCGAGACCATGCATCTGCGTCGCAATGGACATGCACTCCGCCAGACCTTGTTGTCCCAAAACGGTCATGCATACGCTATTATTCGGGATTCAAGGCTGGGTGCAGGCAGCGGAGTGGCATATGGTCTCAGCGCCGGATATCGAAGTTGGGGATTGCGGCTTCTCTGGTGGAGTGAGTCAGGTCCCAAATAAGTTTCGATGGGACACAAAAGTTCTTTAATGAATAATGCTCGATTATCTTGCCGAAGGTAGATCTAGCAGGCAGCGACGGGAAGAAAGGTCGATCTGGGATCATATCATAATAGTGTTGCAAGATCTTCATTTGGTGACGAGCAATTACGAAAACTTTATAATAGCAAGCATTCAAATCAAGCATGCCAGCCATCAGAATTCCAAATTTAGTATAGTCATCGGATCCTAGGTCCCAGCATCTTGAGCCATCCCTTGCCTGGTCGTAGCGATGGTGTTGCAATTCAGGTTTGCTGCAGCGATTGGCCTCCCAACAGCCGACACGGCCAACGAGGTTGATAACTCCGTCATTCTATCAGAATCTGGTCCCAAAGTCTGCGTTTTCGCCCATGCGCGTTGTTTCTTCCAAGCCCGTCTCGTACAAAGGGCCATTCTGTCTGCATTCATGTGCAGGCGCATCCATCAACCCTTGGACCTCCGAGTGTCCCCGATAGATTTCCTAATTAAATGCGTAGTCTTAACCCACCGTCGTTATCCTGCCCAGTTGAATATTATCGTCATAGTTCTTCGTTTGGGACTTCATCGAATGTAGAGTGTGCGAAAGTGAAGTCGACTTCCTTGACGGCGGTTGGCTGTCTGCTGACACCATCCCCGAGGTACAGATAGCCTTTGGCCTCAGCATATCTGTCTCGAGCGACGATAATTACTGGAATTTCACGCTGTGAATCAACATGGCCTACAGGCCTTTTGTCATTCTATTAATCGTGCGCGACCTGAAAGATAGAGTGGTCTTCGTTCTCGGAGAATTTCCTACTTCTTTAATCAAATTTCTTTTCGGGTGACTCGGAGCTCGCTCCGAGTGATAGTGCTAATCAATATCAGTACAAGTTAGTGAGCTATGAAGTTATTACACTCGGCACGAGGTCTTAGGTTACACAAGGTTGAGACTAAGATGATTTTGTGATTTTGTCGAATTACCCTTGCTGTTGTCCTCCACGGGATTATAAACAAGCATAGACCCTTGCAGCGTTGCTACGATCAGCGGGCTTACTCTCCGCTTGAGAGCTACGAAGAGACCATCCAAAGACCTACTCAAGGAGATTTTATCAGTCCTTGAGGTCCGCGGATTGGACGTCGACACGTCTATGATCGGCTTTTCTCACCGCATCTTTGTTCTCAAGCCGCCGAGCGGGCAGCGGTGGATCCTGAGCATCGCGAAAAGCGAATTTGCATCTGCCTTGGTCAACCGAAGGGTGTTCATCACGAAGCACATTACCAACGTGCAACTGAATTTGCAGATCCCAGCTGTCGTCAACACCACGAAGGACCACGCCATCTTTGACTACATCAACAGAGCCCCAATCTATGCTTACTCACCTACTGTAGGCGAGCAAAAGCGTCACAAGTTGCTCGATGGACTCGCCAATTTTCTGTATAAGCTTTGGACTTGCCTTGTGCCAGCTTCCAATCCCAGTGAGATTCGTCAATGATGGACAGCTGGACGTTTCTAATCAACCTCTTCGATACCACAGCAGTGAGAGAATGGCCTCTTAACTAAGTGGACAAAACAAGCATTCGTTCGATCTGGAACCCAGGTTGGGGTCCACCAATTCATTTCCTTCACCGTGCTAAAGTCGAGAACCTGATTCCACGCAAGAACAATCTCGGAGATGCAATCAAGCACCCAGACCTGAGCCCGATGAACATGTTGACACGCGAAGAGGAATTATCTGGGTAAAAATTGATACGACCGACTCCAGATCGTATCACTGACGCAGTCAGTACCACAGAATGATGGATTGGGATACAGTCACGATCGTGCCAGCACCAATAGCGGTTCAACACCCACTATTTATATCGAACATTCCGGGATATTTGAACCGTGTCCCTAAAGACATGGACTTCGCAGAAGATCGAGCCTATCTGGTAGAAGCTATGCGGAAGCTGTCTACGGACGCCAGTAATGTTGCAGACCTGCTTTCGAGCTCTTTCGAGCGACAGTTTTTCGAGCTCTCTCTTCGCAACAGGCACGTGAACAATGAGTACTTTGAACTGAGGCTGGAAAACGTTGAATTTCCCAAGATGCTGGAATTGATCAGCTCAATCTTTTCCTTTCCACGAATAAGGAGATGGAGCGTCATTCTACGATTTTGGAACCGAAGGCATAACTCACGAAGAAGGTCAGAGGAAGTGATGAGTGATTTGAAATGTAAATGCTTTTCGACCCGAACAATGCACCGTCTAATGATATTCGTAGCTACATCAAAGTAATCGCGTATCGACATGAACCCTGAATCCAATCATGAAGCGTTATCCATCATGGCGGGCACGCTCTAGACGCAGTGGATGGCACCGTCGGCGTGAGTGTGGCAGTTGGCAGGGATGGCTGAGGTGGTGGCGGCAGTGGCAGCAGTGGCAGTGCTAGTAGCTGCAGTCGAGATGGTGGCTGCACGCGAGGTGGTGGCAGCAGCAGCAGCACCTGAGGACGTAGAAGCGGCGGAGGAGGTGGCCGCAGGGGCAGCGGCGCTGCTTGTGGCACCGAGCTTACCGCTTGGACCGGGGCAGCCGACGCCAGGAACAACGACGTCGTAGGCGTACGCCTCGAGCGCAAAGTATTGAAGGCCATCGGAGTCGTGGGTGGAGTTGGAGCTGCCGGCAGCTGCAGCGGCGGTAATCCCGTCGTAGCCACTGGCGTAGTGCTCAATGTAGTTTTGGCCGAATGCGGGCATGTGGTAGAGGCGGTGCAGGAGATCTGAGGCCCAGTACACGACGCGAGAGGATTGGCGAACGTTGTAGCCCAAGCCGCAAAGGCTGACAAGAGGACGGCGGATTTGGAAAGACAATGGGCAAATCACGGTCTCGCCAGTGGCATTGTTACCACGCCAGTGTCCAGCCCAAGCTGTGCATAAGAGTCAGAATTGGTTTGCACTGTAAGCTCAAGTTCGTTTCACTTACTGGTAGGGTTGGGTGCGCAGTTTCCATCTGGGTCGTCGCATCGGAACAGAGCACCGCCGCGGTCGCCGCTGGCAACCAAGTCGAAAGCGCCAATGACTTCAGCCGAGGGACTGTTGCCGAAGTACTTGCGGTAGATAGCACTCTCATTTCCCCAACGAAGAACGTGGTTCTTGGCGTGTGCGGCGAGCTTCACGGTCTCTTCCAAACCAGTGCGGATCTGAAGGGCCTGAGAAGCGTTGCAGCTGGGGTGAATCTGCCAGTCGTTGACGGCGCCGGCATTCCAAGGTGCAGCAGCAGCCTGTTGGAAAGGTACTGCTCGGTCCTCGATGGGAGCTGCCGAGACGACGGCGAGCGTCGAAAGAACGGAGAGGGTGAACTTCATTTTTGTGGTAGATGATGAATAAGGTTGAATGCTCGGAGTTCAATTGATGTTAACAAGCTGAATGAGGCAGTAGATGTGATTGAGGTTCTCTTGTCACAACGCAATGCCATGCAGGTCTTATATAACCTCTTGATCGACAAAAGCAACATCGAAAGTGATATGATGTCTGTGATCCATCGAGCCGTCAGTCTCCAATACCAAGCCGGCCCTGTATCTCGTTTCGGTAAACCCACATGTCGGTGCTTGGCAAGGCATTCGCCTCGTGTCGAGAGCAGCATAATCAACAGAACATCACTTGCCGTTGAACTGGTCTGGCCGTACGAAGCCTCTCCGGTCACGCTTGGCACCTTGACCGTGATGTCCTCACCTCGCGTAGACTAGGCCGTCAACCTGCTAGACATGCAGCGCTAGTATCCCGTGCTGTGCCACATGGTCGGGCACATACATCCCACGGTGGCGACCATGTGGCTGGGTGACTAACTATCTAGGTACTCTCCCACGGAGCCACAGCTCCTTTGCAAAGAGCGAGCTTTTAGACTGACATATGTACGTCACGTACCTGGAGGATCACCTGAACATACATGCCCTAGCCGGGAACCGCGCAATGTGAAGCTGAGCTCGCGGCGAAATAGTCGCAGCGACAGCAGTTCGAGGGATAGTACCGACAGTACATGCGGACTAGTTGAGTGACTGCCCTGCTGCGAATGCTATGTTTCTCGGGTCTTGCGCGGAAAGAGATACTCTGTAGAGTTCTAGAGCATGCAACGAGCGTATTGTCGCAGTCAACGGCTCACCTCATGTGTAGGGCTCTGCAGGAATATTCCCAATCACCCACCCTTGAGGCATTTCCGCGCCCAGTGTCAGAGCTTCACGACACGGATCGGCGACTTTCTCGCACAATTGTCAACGACCACCATGACACATAACAACATTCTTCACCAGGAAAGGAAATCAGAAGCTCATCACGCGAGAGGGCGGAAAATTCTGTTGCTTGGCAATACTACCTTGAGGGTGCTGCCCAGACCTCAAAAAGCACCTTGATGGACAATTTCCCACCACAACAGGTCGCACCTTTGCCTGAATGCAGGTCCTCTGGTGAGCCTGGGGCAATGCCTACCGAATCACTAAGAAGCAAACATCGGTGCTTCCGGGCCCGACAGCGGCAATGCAACCGAACGTCGGAGCTCACATCCCACGTGGGAAGCCTCGCGTTGGGACGAGATGCCCAAGTAACGGGTTCGCTAGAGGTAATCGTCTTCACCTCGCATGGGAAACGATCCACAGCCAAGATATGCCCAGCAATAGCCATACGAACCCTGTAGGATCAGGTTACAGCTCCGTTCCAAAGAGCGTTCAAGGACGGGCTTTGAAGGGATGCGTTTATGTGATGACAAGTCTGCCCAGGACTAGATGATCGGACTGAATGGACTACTGTCTGCATATATACATCAAAAGCAACGACTTTGACCTTGCCTCGTTCATTCGCGATCTCTACTGCAAACATTGCTACTCAACATATTTCACAAATCATGTTGAAGTCTATCCTGACCTTCGCAGCCTGCTTCACAGCAGCGCTCGCACAGACAACTTATACTGGATGTCACAACCACACTTCAGGAAATGAAGTCCTCCTCTACTGCTTTGGCCCCAACGGTCAAGAGACTGCCCGTGAGACATATGCAGTCTCAGCTCCATTAACAACTCCTGCGCCGAATGCTGCAACCACGACGGCAGCACAAAGCGCTGGCCAAACCACCGCAGTCACGGCATGCCACGGCCATGGAAGTGACGTCTACTGTATTAATGGTGCTGGCGCAGAAGTGCTGGTGAAGGCAACTCCTACGGGCGCCTTTCCTGCTGCTTACACTGGATGCCATGCACACGGTTCTTCTCAGTAAGTTGTCCTATTCACCACATCACGCCCACATACTCACAAGGTTCTTCAGGTTCTGTCTCGACCCTAGCGGCGGTGAAGTTGCAGTCGTTGCTGAAGGTGCTTCAAGTGGTGGTGAAGGGCACTCCGGGGAGGAAGGTGCAGGCTGCCACGAACACGGTGGTGTTCTGTACGTGTATCGACATGCCTCTCTCCATCACAAGAAACGTACTGACGGATTCCTAGACACTGCCCAGGCGGAGCAGGCGAAGTCGATTGTGGCCTTCGTGAACGAGAATTCGATGTCGGCTTCCGAGTGGGGAGCTTGTTCATCATTCTCGTTACTAGCATGCTCGGAGTCTTCATCCCCCTCATCTTTCAAAAATTGCCGTTTGGATCAGTCACTCAATGGGTGCTCCTGATCTTGAAGCAGTTCGGAACAGGAATCATTATTTCAACAGCATTCATTCATGTAAGTACCCTACCAAACTCATTTTCAACATCAGTCTTCTAACTTCGTGTATAGCTCTACACCCACGCCGATCTCATGTTCGCCAACCCGTGTCTGGGCGAGATGTCATACGAAGGCACGACAGCAGCCGTCGTCATGGCAGGTATCTTCCTCTGCTTCTTGATCGAATACATTGGTCTGCGCGTTGTCGCAGCACGAACAGCCAAGGACGATCAGTCCACCGAACATGTTGCGGTCAGCGGCAAGGAAGTGTCGCCAGAAGGATCTCAGAATGGGTTCGCCATACTTGACCACCACCATGGCGGAGCGAACAACAAGCTCTCAGTCGCTGTCATGGAAGCTGGCATTCTTTTCCACAGTATCCTCATCGGCTTGACATTGGTCGTGTCCAGTGACAGATTCTTCAGGACTCTGTTGATCGTCATTGTCTTCCATCAGTTTTTCGAGGGTCTCGCGCTCGGCGCTCGGATCGCGCTCCTACCAGGCAAGATCTTTCCATCCAAGTTCCTCATGTGCATCGCCTTCACACTCATCACACCGTTGGGTATGGCCATCGGTTTGGGTGTTCTCAACAGCTTTAACGGCAACAACCCCAGCACCGTGCTCACTTTCGGTGTCCTGGATGCCGTATCAGCTGGTATCCTCATTTGGGTGGGCCTTGTCGACATGTGGGCACGGGACTGGGTCATTGAAGGTGGTGAACTTCTGAACAGCAACGTCATCAAGACGTTGGTTGCTGGAACATCACTGGTGCTGGGCGTTATCTTGATGAGCATTCTCGGAAAATGGGCATGAACGAATGAAACGGGCTTGGTATTTAATGAATTTTTATGTAGAGCTACCTCTGGCGGCGCTCGCACGTGTTGCCAGTCGTTCATGACATGACGTTCTTCGATCTCGAGATTTTCTTAACAACGCGATTTCACGATTGGTCCATAAGCGAGGGGTGCGATAGCGCAGATCATAGATGTGTATTGCTTGCTGCGGTCAGACTGTAAAGGTTCTCGTTCTTCCTGGCATGAGGGCGCGAGCTAAAGCAGCGCAAGTTTTTATCGTCGCCATTTCGCCTGCCCAGCGGAGTTACAGTCGGCGCTCCCATAAATTCCATATGAAAAATGTTATATTGTACAATTTCGAACTTCTGTCGCGCTATCAGGAAACACGAGTCGCGATGGTACGGTCCGGTCGTCCGACACGACATCAAATGCCACATGAAAGTCCCTTATGTCCGGCGTTGATCCATGAATCGCGGCCAATGGTCGGACACGATCTCCACATCACGACCAAGCCCGATGCAGAACGTCGCGTATACATTCGACGGCGGTGCTACACTCCGACGGATATCTGCCTGACCTCTCATGTGCCTCTTCAATCGGCCGGCTATGACGGATGCGATATGTTCTTGCTGATGCGCCAAGGATCTCAATTGTCGGCTGTAAGCTTGATACGCTGCACGATGCCCAACGAGAGACGACATTAATACACGTGGCTTTCATGTGAAAGCGGGCCTGAAGAAAAGGAGGAGCCTCTCCGAGTCAGTCAGCTAGTGCCCGCAAGCTTTGGAGCCTCTCCACAGCCGAGGCTGGCGCAACCCCGCGATCGAGCGCCAATCAATGGGGTCAATTCCCCAGATCTTATCGGATGACCCCAGTGGTCCACCACCATAGGGGCGAACGAGTGCGATGGTGACAGGGCTGCAGCATACGGTCTAGTCCAGTCCATTGGCGAGTGGTGGCGGGCCGGGAACTGAACACAATCCTTCCACGTCGGACAAAAGATTTATTTGTGCGACTTGTGAGTGACTATGTCTTCTACATAAACTTCTCAGACCTTATTTGTTGAGACAGTCGCGAAAGAAAGATCTCGTGTGCCACGATGTCTCACTCCCCCGACGTTCGCGCCTATGCGCAATTGGCAGGTGCCCTCGCTTTGGGATTGGGAACAGTCTACATTTTGCTCAAGCTCGCTCGTGAGGGTCTTCATCGTCTGTTCCCCAGGTACGATAAGATGAGGTTGCGGCTCGTGTCCATGCGGAAAATGATCTGACGCTTCAGCAGCTACATTCCAGGCGAACCCAACACTGCTCTTTTGGCATCTCCTCGTCCCAATGCCGGCGAGGTCTCCGCCAAGGATCTTGAGAATGCTCGCGAATACGATTATGTGATCATTGGTACTGGTACCGCTGGCTGTGTCCTCGCCAGTCGCTTGACTGAAGATGCCAACTCGTCTGTCCTTGCCATTGAGGCCGGCCACTCTGATTTGAAGCAATTATTCTCTCGCATTCCCGCTGGATTCGGACGTCTCTTTGGAACCTCCGCAGATTGGAATTTCTACACTGAGAAGGATCCTGGATGCAATGATCGCAAGCTGTACTGGCCTCGCGGCAAGATGCTGTATGTGCTTGTCTACCAATGAGCATCTATCGGTGGTGTGCTGACCAAGTCAACAGTGGCGGATGCAGCTCAATCAACGCGATGATTTACAATAAAGGTGCTCCGGCTGACTTCAATGAATGGGAATCCCTCGGCAACAAAGGATGGGCATATTCAAGTGTTTCTAAGTACATGAAGAAGGCCGAAACCTTCGATCACAGCGAGCGATCAGCCCTGACTCAAGAAGACGTCAAGGAACACGGTTCCAATGGTCCCTGGAAGACCGGCTACTCTCACCTTGCCCCTCTTTCCAAACTTTTCATCGACGCCTGTCAGGCTGTTGGCATTCCCGCAACACCAGACTGGAACACTTCAAAGGGCATGGTCGGCTCATCGCAATTTCAAACTTTCATCGACCCTCAAGGCCAACGATCCTCCACTGCTGTCGCTTACCTCACAGAAAATGTTGCGCGCCGCCCGAACCTCTCCATCGCCACTGGCCAGACCGTGACCAAGATCATCTTCGACAACTCGTCCGGCAAGCCACGCGCTGTAGGTGTGGAGATGGCCGCATCGTCTGTCAGCCCCATCCGTTACATCGTGAAGGCGAGAAAGGAAGTCATTCTGTCTGCCGGCGCCATTGGTACGCCACAAGTGCTCAAGCTCTCCGGTGTCGGCCCCTCCAACGAGTTGAAGCAGCACGGCATTCAGGTCGTAAAGGATGTTCCCGGTGTAGGCGCAAACCTTGCTGACCACTTGTGCGGTATTGTCTGCTTTGAAACCAAGGCCAAGTCCATGCAGTTCCTCTTCCACCCAACCAAAAGCTTGCCTGCCCTCATTGAGTGGATTAGGTTTGGAAAGGGCGCCATGACTTCTAATGCAGCTGAATCTGGTGCCTTCATCCGTGTCGCCGACCGGGAGGATGCACCTGAGTCTTTGAAGAAGAATGATCTCTCCGCCGGCCCCGGTTCCGTGGATCTAGAGCTTCTGATCGGTCCCTTGTCATACATCGAGCACGGAAAGGTTATCGCACCTATGGATCGTGTAAGTCGTTTCGTGTACCAGCTTGATCTGAGATGTGCTGCGCCGAAGAGAACAAGAAGACTGATAATTTTCTCCAGGACTTTTTCTCCGTCGGCCCCATCATGCTGCGCCCCGAATCCCGCGGCACTGTGACGCTCAAGACCACCTCGCCATTCGACGCTCCCCTCATCCACGCCAACTACCTCTCCACCAAGCACGACTGCGACATGATGGTTTACGGCCTAAACCTCTGCCGCAAGATTGCCCATTCGGAATACTTCAAGCCTGCATTCAAGGAGTGGTACTTCCCTTCCAAGGACGTCGAGACCATGTCTGACGAGCAGCTCCTTGAGGTTCTCCGCAACCATTCCCAGACCATCTACCACCCCATGTGCACTGCGAAGATGGGTCCGTCCAGCGACAAGGATGCCGTTGTTGATGAGAATCTCAAGGTGCACGGCATTGATGGTCTGAGAATTGTCGACGCGAGTATTTTCCCAAAGCCGGTTGCCTGCCATCCGTGCGCGCCGGTGGTCATGGTTGCTGAGCGAGCGGCGGATCTGATCAAGGGTGTTGCGTAAACATCACTTGATTTATGTGCTCGGGATTCCCGCCTTCTACTTCTCCTCTAAAGGGAAAGTGATTTGAAAATGATGCCATTTATGATCTACATGATTGAGTCATCTGCCACCATATCTACTATATAAATACAATTGGTCTCGCCGATGATGCAGAATTTTAGCGAAGTCAGCTCGGTCCTTGGAAGCATTCTCTGTGGCAGACGTCTCAATTCGTTCCCATCTAGTACTCATTTCCTTTGACGTATAGTCGTGTGTGCAATCTGCAATCGCTGGCTTCAGGGCGGACGATCTCGTGACGACAGTACATAAGTCTTTAATCTGAGGCCAGAAAAATACTCGAGACGAGAAATGCATTGTGAAATGTCCATGGATGTGATGTGCACATGAGATACGAAGCACTACATGGAAGCGCAATTTCCCACGTGGGCCAATCACTCCTCAAGTCACGCGTGGCGGCGTGGACGTCACCTTTGAACACTGCCAAGGTCAACTTCCGAGAGCGTCAGCATCGACTTCTAGCGTACCCGCTCCGGATAGAGCATCAACGGCGAAAGATGTCGTAGCATTCGGATGCTGTGCTCACAGCACAAAGTCATTTAAGACTACGCATGCAGGCGATCATCTAGTTCTTATCGCGAGACCATCCAGCTTATTGTTCCCGGGATCATCGACCATGTTGTTCACGCGTTTGACTTGTGCTCTGATCGCCACTCTGTCATCAGCCACAGCCATCAGATCTAATACTGTATCGCACAATTGGGAACGCGGACCACCCGCATCGCCGGATCAAACAATCACGCTTCACATCGCTTTGCGATCCGAGCATGAAGACGCTGCTGTAGAAAGTCTTCTACGCACATCAGATCCAACGAATGAGCATTTCCGAAGGCATCTCGACGCAGTTGAGGCTCACCGATTGTCCGAGCCTGCCCGAGACGATGTCACTGCTGTGGAGAAATGGCTGAGCGATCATGATCTGTGGGAGAGTAGCTCGATGCAAGTGGGCATTATCGAAATCGACACGAGCATCGCTCAGGCGGAGAAATTGCTGAACGCAACCTACCACTGGTTTACCGGCTCTGGTATCGAAGACACTGCATTGGTGCGGACAGAGAGTTACGATCTACCGGAAGATGTTGCGGAGATCGTCGAGTTCGTCACTCCGACCACTTCCTTTCCTCTGCTTGCTGATAAGAACGTTCATCCCCCGGGCGCTCAGCAACCCTTGACTAAAGCGAAGCGGGATACCTGCGGTTCCAACGACGAGACAACGCCCACTTGTGTTCGCCAGATTTATGGCATCGACTACACCGCTCAGCCGAACAGAACCACATTTGCTGTTTATGGCACAGAAGCTGCCTCATTCAACCCGGCCGACTTGCAGACGTATCTGTTCAAATACAACCCGCCCGCTGCAGCCGCGAGCGCTACTTTCAAGGTCGTCAGTAGTGATGATGCGAACAGCAGCTCTTCATCGTCCATTGAGCCCAAGTTCGAAACTTCTTTAGTCACCCAAGTTTCATTGGGTCTTGCTTTTCCCGCCGTAGGAGTCCTCTACAACAATGGTGGTGTCTTTGGTCCAAACCCAGGCAGAACTTACGATCGCTTTGTATCTTTCCTCCAGGAGCTGATCGTGAACGACACCGTTCCGAGCGTAGTGTCCTTCTCCGAGAGTCTATCCGAGGACAAAGTCGATCCCGCCTACGCCCGACGCGTATGCAACATGATGGCGCAAATCGGCGCTCGAGGTGTGTCGCTGCTATTTTCATCAGGAAACAACGGCGCCAATGGAGATTCCGGCTCCGGTACGCACAACGCCGTCTTTGAACCAAAGTTCCCTGCAAGCTGTCCCTGGGTAACAGCCGTCGGCGGTACGACCAACCTCGCGAATGAAACCGCTGCAACACAAAGTACGCTCAGCACCTTCGCCAAGACATTCTACACTGCATCTGGAGGCGGCTTTTCCAATCTGTTCGTGCGTCCAACATACCAACGCCGTGCCGTATCACGATACATCAAGCAGCATGTACCTGCAGACTACCACAGCGTCTCCGGCTTTAATGCATCCGGCAGAGGTATTCCCGACGTCAGCGCTTTCAGCACAGGATTTCCCACTGTAGTTTCGCTGATCCCAGGAGTACCATTGACCGTGGCTATCGGCGGCACGAGCTCTGCCACGCCTCTGTGGGCGGCGGTGATCGCATTATTGAACGACTACGAAGCTTCGCAGGGACGACCGCCGCTTGGCTTTTTGAACCCTTGGCTGTACAGTCTGCGAGCTGGAATTAAGGATATTACGACTGGAGGAGATAATGCTGGCGCATGCAATTTCCTAGGCGGGTGCCGGCTGGAGAAGACTTTGGGTTATAATGTCACGCAGGGATGGGATCCTGTCACAGGTCTTGGAAGCCCGCTCTGGAAAGGCCTTGTGGCTGCGTTAGACAAGCGAGGATGCAGTGGGCACTGACGGAACAACTGTGGCGATATGTGTATAAGCAAATTCGAATTCAATGTGATGTAATTGACAATGTACAAAATCTATACACGGGAGAATCGGAAATCTTGCCGGGATTATGTCAAGTATGAGACATGCTTGATACATGCTCTCACTGCGCAGATGGTCTGCTGCCGTCCCGCTGTTGAGACGCTGCTGCTTTCGCCTCGGAGATTGCGTCGATTGAAGTAGTCTCGTGCGCAGCAGTAGATTTAGGCGAGGAATCAGAGCCGCGCCGCCGTGAAGGAGTCGATTTACGTCTGAGGAGGCCCCAGCGCTCACCGAGAGTTTGTGGTGCTCTCTGACCGCTAGGAAGATATCTCTCTTGAGATTGATACCATTTTGTCTCATTGCTGGTGCCTCGCCCGGAATTCCGTGCAGAGTTCTTGTCCCCCAAATGCGAAAGATCATCATCACGATCTTCTTCAATTTCCAAGTCCTCTGGTTTGTTTAGTCTTTCGATCTCTTCGGGTGTTCGGAAGCCATTCGTAAACCATCTCTTGATACCTGAATGTGTTTGAAAAGTAACATGTCAGTTTCTCTGATCCTCTGCAAAAGACTGCTTCGCAGCTGGAAGCTGGAAGCTTTTGTGGAACTCACTATTGACGCAATATTCGCAAAGTACGTGTGCTCTTTTTTGTCGTCCGCAAGACGAACACGTATTCAAGGCAGTGACATCTTTCAATGCCTTGCCAGCCATTTGCCGATGACGCTTTTTCATGTGGCTCGTCTTCTTCTTTGGCACCGCTTTGAGGATTCCATCCCACAAGCCACCGAGAAGAGTCGGAATGGGCAGAAATACTGCTGGAAGAATCGAGTTGTTGAGCGCATTGTTGGCTCGGCGTTGAAGTTGCTGGAGAAGCGGATGTGTCCTTGCAGGCTGCTGAAGTGATGCGCGCGCGACCGGAAGGAACACGCTCAGGAATGAGACTGATGGATTGTGAATGGCGGCCATGTTGATTTCGATGGCGGGATCCTCGCCTTCCCGGTCGTAATGATGGCGGGAACACCGCGATGGGAGATGCTCGTGTGATGCCTTTCTTCAATGAATAGCTTCAGCAATGGAGATGGTACTTGCGCCAAGAACTTCGCGTCTCCCGCAGATTATCGCGGGAACGTTCCGAACGAAAAGTATGATTGGCGGAGAGACGTTGCAAGGCGGGAAAGTGACCCAAGTGCATTGGCTTTTTCCCCTTTACGAACCCTGAAGCTTGACTTGTCTCGCTGGCTTCCGGCCGCACTTTCTCCATCGATACATCCAATCCATCACGCCCATCATCAGTCAGGGATCTCCATTCTCGTCGGCTCGTATCGTCTTCTCTCGCGCGTCGCTTCTCTTCGCTCCTGCTACTCTTTCCATCTTCTCCTCGGAGTCCGTCTGATCACCTCACCGTCGTTCGAGGCCCTGTCGCGTCCGAATCGTCTTTGCGCCAACTTCCTGGTCCTGTAACTTTTCTCTTTGTCGACATGGCGACCACACACACTCAGACGACCCCTTCGGTCTTCCCCAAGAGCCACGTCGGTTTCGATAGCATCACCACTCAAATCGAGAAGAAGCTGCTCAAGCGTGGTTTCCAGTTCAACGTTATTTGCGTCGGTACGTTTGTGACGGCATGGCCTAGGAGATACAAAACAGCTCCTGTGGCTGTGCGACATTTGGCGGTGGAATGATCGACGAGGAGGTGCTAACGATGCTATCATCAGGACAAACTGGTCTTGGTAAATCCACCCTCATCAACACCATCTTCGCCTCTCACCTCGTGGAGAGCAAGGGTCGCCTTGTGCCCAACGAGCCCGTCCGCAGCACCACCGAGATCCACCCCGTCACCCACATCATCGAGGAGAATGGCGTCCGCCTGCGCTTGAACATCGTCGACACTCCTGGCTACGGCGACCTCGTTAACAACGACCGCTGCTGGGATCCCATTGTCAAATACATCAAGGACCAGCACAGCGCTTACCTGCGCAAGGAACTCACCGCACAGCGTGAGCGATACATCCAGGACACCCGCATTCACTGCTGCTTGTACTTCATCACTCCTACTGGTCACTCCCTCAAGCCAATCGACATTGTTGTGCTCAAGAAGTTGAGCGAGACTGTCAACGTCGTTCCCGTCATTGCCAAGGCCGACTCGCTCACTTTGGAGGAGCGACAGCTGTTCAAGGACCGCATCAAGGAGGAGTTTGCTTTCCACAACATCCGCATGTACCCTTACGAGAACGAGGAATACGACAGCGAGGAAGCAGCTCTCAACTCGCAAATCAAGGTAAGAGAGAAAATGAGATAATCATATCCATTTGGCATGCGCGGAGCAAGGGAAGATCTTGAAGCTAATAACCTGTGTTTATGTAGTCTATCATCCCCTTCGCCGTCGTCGGCAGCGAGCGCAACATCAACGTCGCCGGCAAGACTGTTCGCGGCCGCCAGAACCGATGGGGAACCATCAACGTTGAGGACGAGAAGCACTGCGAATTCGTCTACCTCCGCGACTTCCTCACCCGCACTCACCTCCAGGATCTGATCGAGACCACTTCTCAGATCCACTACGAGTCCTTCCGTGCCAAGCAGCTGCTCGCTTTGAAGGAGAGCTCATCGGCAGCCGGACACGGCAACAGCGGCAGCCGCCCCATCTCACCGAGCGCAGACCGGGAGATCAGCAGACAGAGCCAGAGGATGACCATGAATGGGTACTAGAGAAGTGTCTTCTTCTCCAAAACCTCACTAGCCTACTCCCTCATGCCAGTCAAACTTCCCTTGCACTACGGCGATAAGATAATTTTCCTCCACACTACCACCATGACGACTTGAGGAGCAATATTCTTTCCGGGGATTTGATTTTCTCGAATTTCTGTTTTGTGTACTTTTCCATACTATATCCATAGTCGACTTCTGCTTTTCTTCTTACTCGTTCATAATGTCACCCCCCGTTCTTAGCGACGTCCCTTTCTACCTCGCTCGCAAAAGTCCTGTACTCCCCACAGCTGGCTGACGCACGTATGCTTGGAATAGTCATCCCGACCAACGTCGTCCGAACCAACCACCGCAACAACAGCAGAGCCGTCGTGAAAGCCGTGGCTCATTCACTCACGCTTGAGGCTGCCTTCAGGCTCATTCTCGGCTTCGCATACCACGCACTAAGGCCTATGCCTTGATTGAGGCTTCTGCTGTCCTCTGAGGTCATGGTGAGGCAGGGATCCAGCATCAGCGAGATGAGTTGTTTTTGAAAAAGACGGGGTGTCACTCAAGCAAATAGTCTTATCCGCGTGAATATCTTCTTGCATTTTGTGATAGGGTTGCGTTTGGGTTTGATTAGGGTTATACTTCTACCCCATGACTTCAACTCCTCCACGGAATATAATATGGTCCTGTTCCAAGTCTTTCCACTCTACGATGATATGATTGGATATGAGGATCATCGAGTATTGTGAATGTATCTTCGCCTTCTTGCCCACCGAATGCCTGCTTACACGCAGGGGAACCCGGAAAGTGAAGAGCAATTCCGATTTATTCCAGTGGGTCCCAACTTTCCAATGTTCCATGCACAGTACACCCACAACCACCTGATTCGCGACGTGGACCTGACTGCTACAAAGTGTGATGCCCGCATCTCGATATGTGGAAAATATGAGCTAGTCATGTGCACAACACAGGAAGTTTCTTGCCATAGTTTCTGTGTCAAGGGTTCCCGTCACGCTTACTAGAGGTATTCTGTTGATGAACACTGAGAGGGAAGTAGGCGACAGCGAGGATGAAAGAGTGGGAGGGGGCTCCAGTGAAGTGATTGCATGTGATATCACGATGTCAAGAAAACTGTGAATTGGCGGAGCAGGGAGATTTGGTAAATTCCATTTTTCACCTGAGCCATCAGGCGTACCTTCCCCAAACCGTCTTCTGAAGATGATGAGGTTGTAGATACATCCTTTCACCAGCCTACGCCGCTCTCCCTGCCTTCCCCCGGATCCCCCTCCTATCGCCAAAGAGATCGCCCCCCTTTGCTCCTCCTGAAGCACCTTTCCCACCACCAGAAGCCGCGGCGGGCCCTCTCCTCCCAGATCCACTCGAGCTGGCGCCTACAAAGGAATACCCACCTTCATCGCCTCCGCCGTAATTATCCTCGTCGTCATAGCCGAGTCGACCGTCGCTGGCGCCTTTGATACTGAAGCCGAGGGTCCCGTTGCTTTCATTGCGATGGCGGGAAGTGGAAGAGGAGTGGTGGGACGTAGTGTCGACGATACTATCGAAGGATGAAGCGCGTTGTCGGAGAGGACGAGTACTGTTGGATTTGTTTTTGGAGGCGAAGAGGTCGACGCCGGCGTTTCTGTTGGAAGAGGACGGTTTGTTCGTTGTCGAGGAAGGGAAGAGTTCGCGAGGTCTTGCGCGGGGTGGATGGTCTGTTGGGCGGCCTGTGGGGGAGAAAACATGATTTGTAAGTATGGGCTGGTTTCACGAGATGGTGGTGAGAATTTTGGCGAGTACTGTCGAGTTTGAAGTCGAAGTAGTAGTTGAGAAATGGCGTCTGCCCGTTGAAGAAGTGGTAAGGAATGAGGAGGGTGATTTGAAGAGATGTTCGACCGCACCACCGAATGGGTAGTCGGTGGCGCCGTCGAGTTGATACCTACCAATTGCATCGGCGACCTCGTCTGGATGGAGGTCTTGAGCGTCATGACGACGATGTTGAGAATTTCGCTCGGGGAACAATTCGATATTACCATTACCACCGCCCGCAGAAGACACAGTTCTAGTGGGTGATGCCCGTTGCGGGAAGAGTTCCTTTGGCCTTCGTGCTGGTTGATTAGATGCAGATAGACCATTTGCGTAGTCGTCTGCGAGAACAGTGTCTGGCCGCTTCCTCTTTCCAGAGAATAACTCCGTGCGTAGGCTATCGCGGACGCCGTAGTTGTCGCTGCCACTGCTGACACCACGACTCCGTAGCACTGGCGAGCGCCGGCGCGACGCGGCATGTGGTTTTTGTCTGTCAATGTCGTTCGTACCGAATCCATAGCGTCCATTACCGTCAGCATCTCGCATAGGTGATGCGCTTCGATCGCGGAATCGAGCACCTTGTTGAGCAGGAGGTCGATCTGCAAAGAGGTCACGCACCGGCCGCGCGCCATTTATCTTCCTGTCTGCGAAGAGATCTCGCGAGGACTTCGATGCGGTCGCAGCTGGATTGTCGTCGTAGAGATCCGCCGAGAATTCGGCCTCTGGAGGTGGTCCACGGCGTGACAAGTCGTTGCGATCATAATTGACGTGTGCTGCTGAAGAAGCCGATCTACCGCGCGAGTTGCGCTCTGCGTCGTTGAAGCGTCGGCGTTTGGCAATCTGTGGATTCTGTCGATAGAATTCGCTTTGACGTGCCGCACCGCGTTGCTTCCGATCTGATTCTACCGCCATTCGCACAAAAAGCTCGACGTGAGGATGCGTTGCCAGTGGCTTGGCTTTGCGTAGGTCTAAAGGATCTTCGACTGCTGCAGCATCTTCGGCGGTGAATGCTTGGAGTGCTTTGCGCGCGGCGTCACCAGTGTTGTAAACTAGGTTGACGGAAGTGTCATCGATCCATTCGATTTTGGAGAAGTCGTCGCTCGGGAAGAGGTCGGCAGCGAAGTTTTCCACATCGCGCGTCGTCAGATCATTCACACCACGCACGTGGACCTTGTTGGCGACCAAGTCGTTCTTGTCAATCTCACCCTCCTCGGCCAATGCCTCAATACCGAGCATTGCATCTGTATCATCAGCTGCTGGCGCTGGTCGCTTCTACAGAGCGAAATGGTTAGCGCTTTCTGTTGTCCGTACTGCTTCATGTCCCAAAGCTCTTCTGATGCTCTTGCTTTGCGCGTACCAGGCTGTGAATCTCATTGATCTCCGCTTGCATGCGCGCAATCTCATCGTCGTCCAGATCGTTGTTATTGATGTCAATGTCGGCATCAACCACGATGTCCATATCGACATCCATGAGCTCTTCTGTTGCCATGATTGCGGTTGAGGAGTGGTATGCCGATGTTGAAAGACTCGATGTGTGACCTCGCGGAATTCAGCTCGTGGAGTCACGCGTTCGATTGTTGGGCAAGATGCTTCTATCAGGTGGTCTTGTCGTCAATGTTGGAGGACGAACTCGATGTCGTGAGGTCGTGATTCCACCAGTGTATACGCGCCACAGCGTCCACTTCAGAAAAGTGTGAGTCTTGCGATAGCGATCGATTTGCGTGGATGTTTCAGTTTATATCGCATCGGAGAACTGACAGGCGACCCGCGGTTCAGGGCACAGGCAGGCTTGAAGCAGGGCTGCAGGTGGTGGAAGTCGGCCGTTGTTAGCTGTGAGCACATGCCATTCGTCGGCGCACTTGCCTTGGATCTCTGTTAAACAATCGTGAGGGTTCCCCACGAGATCTATGGTATACGTATGACGTGTGATGGGTTCGATATGCAACGACGCGATACTGTGCTTGCACATGCGGACGAACATCTGCATGCGTTCCAATAATTTGGAATACCGCAATCCCAAGAGCATCTGATGCGCCGTTCATCTAGGCAGTTTCCAAGGCACTCGGTAATGACAGTCACATGAGGCTGCGATAAGTTTGGTCGAGCATCACTTGGATACGAGTACTATCTCTCATTATCGTTACGTTGCAGACTGAGTAAGTGGTTATTGTAAGGTAGAAGAAAAGCGCTCAATGCATGGTCATTGTATACCAGTCTCGTCGCTGTGCGATGCATGTGAACACAGCGGCATTCGCTGTACGCATATTGAAATTGTAGGATATCTCTGTAATTTTGCACACGATGAAGCCCGTTTCCTTTCCTCCTTCTGAGACCAACATGAATTGGCGCAAGGGTGCGACCGATCATGATCTGTACAACCCGCAGTCGTGACTTCCATACTTGATGTCCTCCATACTAGCATTGGGCTGCCTTGTTCCTCACTTGAAAACTCATTCTTTCGTCTGTGGATTCGGGCGCAAGGCAGATATCATCGGATATGGTAGTCATCCCGAAAACCCATTCAATAAACTTTTATCCAGATGTAACTCCCAAATCAAATACCATTTCCCCCTTCACGCCAGCAGACTCGCGCCACCAGTCTCGATGGCGTCGATCTCTGCCTGTGTGAATGGCGTGCGGTGGAACCGTTGGGGAAGATCGTTTCGGTCCCAGAATTGGTTGGCTGCGGGCTTGACGGCTCCGAGCGATCGGCCGGATTGTGCGCCGATGGAGAGTGGCTGTGGTGCTTGTTGGGTCTTTTGTGTTGAAGCTGAGGGCGTCGGGGTTTGTTGTTGTTGGGGCTGGCTTTTCAGTGGGCCGTGTTGTGTGGCCTTCTCTCGGTATGCGGCGAAGGACTCTGGGAGGGTAGCGGATGGTGATTCGGGATGAGGACGGGGTGTGAAGTCAGTGTCTGATGGTAAAAGACGACGTTAGCTAGAGTTTTAACGAATTGTATTACGAGCTCGATCGAGCTGGTCTAGGATTGAAGAGAAGACTTACGAGCTGAAGGAGCGCGCTTTCCGACGAAGCGGATCATTGACTGTCGCTGAAAGAGTGCGCGAGTGGCCTGCATGATTGCGGTGGTGGTGTTGATGAAGCAAGAATTCCGCGGGAGGTCGTATTTACACGAATAGCGAAGTCGTCGACGAAGGTCTTTTACAGATTATCGTTCGGGTCGAGTTTGAGGAAAAGAAAGACAGAGAGGGAGTGTACTAGTAGAAGTGTGCCAGAGAGCAGTTCTCTCGGAAATGATAGGATGCAGGTGGAATGAAGATTATATGCAGACTGTCCGGAAGCAGCGTGTAGCTTAATAAGAATGACGGACCACCACAAGTCACCCACATCTGCGGCAGGCAGTAAACTTTGGATCGCGTGCTTTTCCCTGGTTCGTAGGCTCGTAGCGGAGTGGACGGCTAACTTTGGTCGTCCTCCGAGACTTTTCCTGCAATCCAACTCCGACACCGCAGTCGGGTCAACATCATCATCACATACTGCACATCATGCTGATCCCATGGTTGATCGTTGTCTTTTACTCAGCCAGATCTGTTGTTTTAGATGTTCTCGATGGTCGGTACAAATAGGCGTATGTCTGGAATTCTACCAAAGTGCCCACCACGCTGTACAATTCCTCAGCTGATTGGTTTGCCAACCAGCTACTATCATTCGACGACGGCAATGCTGTATAATCTCTTGGACTCGACAGCAGTATGATGGTACACAGTGAACAGAGCACATAGGTGAAGTCCAAGGAATGAAAGAGGCACAGTCGGAGCTCCTCCACATCCTCGGTCCGCCATACTATCCTCCTCCACCCTGGGAATACATACATCATGTGCAACAAAACCATGGCTTCATTTCATCTAATCCTGGTCTGGGTAGGCGGAGGCGTCGTGGTCAGTCGTGTAGGGATGCCCTCACACTCCAAACCAGCCCGATGTAGGGCAGACGAAACACGTTCGGTGGTGCCAGGATCGGGTGAGACCGGAAGCAGCCCATCCTGCACAGACGCCTCCGAGCTCGCAGCAGATGCAGGTTGCACTGTTCCTATGGATGGTCTCGGAGTTTCTTTTCCATGGGCTGGATTCGGTCTCCTCCTCCTCCACATGGACGCTGGGTACGTACCGAACTCGCGTGCTTCTCTGGTGAGATGATGCCGACGACGATGATGACGATGCAAGATCAATCTTATTCCGCAGTCCCCTTTGCCAGGTGCATCTTCCATCATCTTTTTCTCCGCACAGGCAACACCCACTACTCTCACAAGCGCGATTGTTACTGTACACAGACCAACACATCCAACAGAAGCGGGCCTCGATGAACCCCTACGTCAAGGCTCGTTCCTGAGAGTGATGATGTCTATAATCGGGCTGTTCGACGTATTGCCGATCTTTCATGCCACCTCGTCAGGCACCACCGAGGTCTGTCGGCTTGTGTGAGATGTAAAATAATATATGCTAAGGAGGTGCCCGTGAACAATTGCGAACGATACGGTGTCTTCATCACTTCCTTTCCAGCAACAGATAAGTGTTCTTGCGCTTGCCACTACTGCTGATGATTCTCGTGTACCCGCCTGGGAGAAAAGGGCAGATTGCCTTCACGTGAAAGGAATATCATCGGGTGGAGTTCACTCTTGTTGCATCAGTAGCGCGGGCGTTCATTACGTGAGGCGTAGGCACTGGCAATGGTATGAGTGGCTGCAGCCGAAATGCTCCTAGATAGGTGATAGTGTCGCTGCCAGGGACATCATGCCTTAAAGCATCGTGGTTAACATTCAGTATCTACTGCATACACTTTTGGGATCAATTACAGGATCGTTCACGAAGCAAAGGTCTTGTCTGTTTCCAATGTCGGACGTTGTCATTCTCGGAGCTATGGCCGATTCGCGAGTACACAGCCTTCGCTGGAGCAAGCTGAAGCCCGCGATCATGGATTCGTTTGCGTGGCTCGTGTGGTAGTCCAGAATGATACAATGTCCCGACCAGGAGAGACTTTTTACCTACAAGACGCGTTCGAGTGAGACAAATTCGGATCTATGCTTCTTGTACTTTTGATATATAGGTATCGGTCTCCATCTCGCATGGCAACAGGCAGCAATTGTCGCGCGGAGAGCATCCCTCAGGTAGCAAATTCGCGACGCCGCAATGATGATGGGCCCGATGCGACAACAACAACAACAATAAGGACTTCTTTCTCTTAATCAATCGAAATTGCCAACTAGAAATTAACTTCCAGACGATATCATTAAGCCGATGTAGCCAAACTTACTGAAATTCCTAGAAGTGTTCTCACTTCCATCCCTGGAGAAGAAGAGAAATCCGAACAGTCTTCCCAACAAGACAATCATGTCCTCAACCCACAAAGTCTACCTAACAGAGTCCATCGGCGGCGGCGAATTCAACCACATCGCCCTCTTCATCGCAACCGGCGCCGGAGCCGGTGCCGGTCCTATCGAGAACAACAGTAACACAAGCGAAAAACCATCCGGAATCCTCTACAACGTCATCGGCACCATCGTCATCGGCGCTGGGCAAACCTACGAAGTCCGAGAAACAACCAACCCGCAACTCGCCATTGAGCATATCCCGGGGACGTATCGCTGCATCGGACAAGTGCGACATGAAGACCTGGATCGATTCGCAGCGATTTGTGAGAGCATTCCTGTGCCGGGACCGCAGTTGAGTTTACGGGGGAAACCTGTGGACCCGACGAAGCCGGTGCGGAGATGTACGGAGTGGACGATGGAGGCAGTAGAGGCGCTGAAGGAAGCTGGAATCCTGACACCGGAGCGACAGTGAGATTGTAGGCCGCCATATGTTCGATATGAACTTGATTGCTCGGTGTATCACGGCCCGTTGTCCGATAGCTCATTTGAAACATCAGAGGCCACGTCTCCATGCGTTCGTAGAGTCCCTTCTATGCCCTAGAGGAGATTCGCTTACCAATCTCGTTTGGGGTCAGTAATATAATATATGAAAGACCATCTGCATCAGAGTGTACTCATAACCGGGTAATGACAATGCCCGCCTGGACATCGCGAGCCAATGAGCCCGATATTGTGCCATGACATTGGCCTGGCAAAACTCCCAATAGTCAGGATACCAGCCCGCATCTTCCCAGTCAATAATCGTGATTTGGAATTGATCTATGCCATCCTCGTCATCGCTCGTCCTGTGGACCATAATGTTCTTCGGCTGGAGATCACTGTGCGTGAAGACGATCCGGTGATTCTTCAATGCCTCGTTGAAAAGCTCGCGAAGCGTATCGAGGTAAGATTCGGTCATGGAGGAAACAGTGCCGAGCCTTCGTAGGAGACCCTCGTTGAAGGCAGCTTCGTTCTCGAAAGGCCCTGCTATTATTGGGTCGCGCCCAGGAAACCAGAACATGTCATGCGGAATCGCGGACTTTTTGATACCACCGATGTAGCCTGGAGAAGGAATCCTGCGAAGCTCGGCGACTGCTTCTTTGATCCGCTGCGTGATTTGGTCTTTCTCCTGTTGATTTAGCGTCGGTAATAGCTTCTCGAGGGTTTCTCCGGGAATGAAGTCCATGACTATGAAATGCTCATCTGTCTCCGGATCTGTGAAACTCCCGTGGATCTTAGGAACGTGTACAGCGCTATTATCTGCAACGAATCGCATCGTGCCAGCTTCGAGTAGCTTGACTGCGTTACCGTACTTGACCGTGAGATTGTCTCGTATTTTGACGACCTTCTTGAAGGCATCGGCCGACGAGAACCTCACTGTCGCGGCTCGAACCTCGTCCGGAGACGGCATCTCAATTTCTGGCATGGCTGAAGGAAATTGTACATACTGCGAAGCATTTCCTCGATATGTATTGTGACGGATTCAAACGAGTGATGATAGAAGTCTCCCCAGCTACAACGTTGTGCCGCTAGCCGGATCTAGGAAAAGCGTGGAATTCATATATCCATCGGAGCCCTTTATTACGGTAGATGAAGTGTTATATTTAGCAAAATCCGTCACAGAAGTGCAGCCGTCCACGTACATCGATGTTGTCAAATGCGTTGCAGCATTTTGGGAGCATCTCGACAGCCGAATTGAAATCGCCTGCGACCATCTTTGTGGCACCATTCCGCTATCCCGCCATCTCATCGCCAAATATGGCCAACACGCAACCGACACAATGACCAAAATGACCATGGCACATCTCCAGCACGACGACGACTTCTCGACCGTCGCCCAGTGGGCCTTCAATTCTGACGTCGAAGCCAAACCGCGAGCATCCAAGCTCGTCGTCGCTGTGCAGCATAACATCCGTCAGGCACGCAAGATCCGTCAGGCACCCCAATTGGCACGCCGGACCCACCGAGCGCTCAACCACTCCGCCGAACCCGTGCCCGCTCGCTTCTTCCGTTTGCTCGACGACGACATCTCCGCTATTGGCGCCTGGTATTTAAAGGATAGCTTACCCTCTCCAGGCCTCGGCGTTGACCGACAAGGGCCGGCGCGCGCCTACTGGGGCATCGCCATCTGGAGTCAAGCGCTGCAAGACCCGCTACTGTTCAAGTGCTTGGCATTGCTCACCTTGCACAAGAAGCGCGCGCTCGCGGGCTCGTGGGATCGAGTATCGTACCTCAAACACAAGCAGGATGCCTATCAGCTGCTGCAAACACAGCTCCGGGGAGAGAAGGCCGGTGTGGGATCGTCGGCGCCGCAGCAGCCGTCGTCATTGGCATCCTCCAGAAGCAACAGCGTTGTCCTGCTCGCACCTGTGGTCTGTTTAATCGGCTACATTGAGGTCCTGGAGGGTCGATTCAAGGAAGCGGCGATGCATATCCAAAGCGTGGCGGCGCTGGGCGATGTTGCTGCGCTAGACAGCACGCAATGGGCGTTTGTCGCGTGGAATGACTTGCGCTACGCGATGAAGATGGCGACCCCGCCGGTCCTGCCTGGCTCCCTGCCGGCGGCATATCTCGTGCAGGCAAACACAACCTACATAGACGCAACGTCTGGGTCAGAGTCCCGTCGGTGCGCACTGGCAAACTGGAAGCACGCGCAGACCCTGCTGCTCGGCCTCAGCGCCGCCGACGCGCTATTTGAGATTCTCCAGGGCGTGCATAGCTTAAGCCACCTTCTACCCAATCCGCTCGTCCCCTTCGACGCCAAGCTGGCGAAGCTGTACCAGGTAGAGTATAAACTACATACATTAGCCGCCGACGCCGCCATTCACGGTGCTGTCTGCGGCGGCGCTAGGGCCACACTCTTTATCGTAGCCTTGCAGCTGCACCTTCTCGCGCTCGCAAGTTCCCATGCACCATCGACGCCTGAATGCCGGGACTTCCTCCTGGCCCGGGCGTGTGAGGCCACGCAGCATCTACAACCCAACGACGGCGCCGACAGGAAGTCCCAAAGTGACGCATCCCTAGTATGGGCACTTTTCGTGCTGGCCACCCACTCCCGCCGGCATGTGCGGCGCCATCGCGACGACGCCGACTCCGACGTATTCATCCCCGCGCTCGCCCGTCTAGCAGCCGTGAGAGACTTGCGCTCCCGCACCGCATTTCTCAAACTTCTGGAGAACTGGCCCGAGATCTCGCCATGGTATCCGACACAGGCCATGGAGATCTGGTCTCATTTGCTAGTGCTCCGTGGCAAGCGCTGGGTCCAACAGGTCGCTCCATCAGACGATACGGAAGAATCCTACTCGCTGCGTCCGCAACAGCCCTGGTTCTCGGGCATCTTGATGTTCTACGGTTGAGAGGAGGAAAGAGATCTCCCTGATAAGCATCTTCTAGAACACAGAAAAGTAGATCTAGACAATCTCTCGCAGCCGCAAAGCCACAGCCGCCAACGCCACAGCACCGGCTAATACCACGGCCACATTCACTGCACTCCGCCGCAACGCCTTGATCGCGAACCGCTCAAACATCTCCTGTAGATCCCGCGACTCATTCAGGTGTGGGAATGGTTCCTTCGGTATGGGTTTTCCTAGAAAGTCACACAAAGGCTCCCACCCATCGCCGAGGCGATACTCTAGCAGGCGCTCCGGCGGCACGAGTGCCCGGACGTTGGCGTAGTGCTCCCGGTAACCCTGGCGCGCGCGACGTTTTAAGCCAGCGACGGTCGGGTTGTGTGCCTGGCCGAACGCATACCCGAAGCTGATGACTCCCACGCGGATGATGCGACCGATCCAGTATGGATCGAGGAAGCGCAAACCTAAAAACATCGGCGCCAGCGACACGTCGAACAGCGCCGAGATGCTGCGGTACCACGACTCGACATCGCGCTCGACCAGTACGACCTTCGCGTCCGGATATGCAGCCAGCAGCTCCTCCGCGAACAGGATTGCCGGCTGGTCCGTCACGGCGCCGCAATGGCCTAGTAGCTGGTCCCATTGCGCCCGGCCGAAGGGCGCTCCCACGCCCTCCCACTTCGCCCGGAAAGCCTCCAGCCAGAGATCGCTGTCGCGCGCGTTGGCCCAGATGGACGAGAAGTGGTAGGGGTTGGGGTAGCCCAGGATTTCATAGGCGCAGACCATACCTGGCAGTGCAAAAAGACCCGAGTCAGTTGCTCGTTCGTTGCAATAGGTCCACGGCGCGGGTGTTCAACTTACTAAGCGTTCCCGTGCGTGAGTGTGCTAGATGCAACACCTCGAGAGGTGTCACGCGCTGGCAGGTCCGCCGGTCGATATTGGTATCGGCGTAGAAGCCGCGAGCGAACTGGCCGAAGCGTCGGAGGTCGGCGGCTTCAGCAGCGCTCGGCATGATGATAGTCTATCTGACAGAGACGATCGATTGACTAGCTGAGGCGTATGGTTGGCAAGGATCAGTAGAGGATGAGATGCTGTGGTTTCCAAGGAGAAATCAAATACGATGATAAGAAAAGGGAAAGTAGAAACTGGTACCTCCCTCGTGAGGTATATATACAGACGCCATGCCGCTCGCTAAGTTCAAAAGATCCGGTCCCCATGAACCCTCGCTTTCTTGCCTGCCGGTTTTCCTTTTGTGGATGATGGTCGTCAAGACTCGAATCGAATTACTGTACCTTTTCACCCACTTTGGGTTAATGTGTTCCAGCGGGCCGCAGGACAATTCCCAAAATAGCGTGGGATTGAGAGACGTCACGTAACGTCCCTCCCGGCGTCGCGAGCCACCCTATGTAACGAGCCAGCATTGGACACTTTGATCGATAATACTCTTCAACACCGATATGAATTTGCTTTGCTGTATCTACACTGTAGGTTAGGATGTTACCCTTCGATCGACCGCTCTACATCGAAATCGGGTGAGTGTTGCAGTCGCTGTGATCGATTCCTTCCTCGTGTAAAATCCTAGTCATCTCGTGAATCGCTACGTGTGAGTGTATTTCTGATCAGCTCGCAGCGTTGCTCGGCTCGGCGGGCTGCGGAGAGTCCGCTCTATTG